GTCAAGAGCCTTTATGACAGCAAGGAACCAGGGAGACTCACCTAAACTTCTAGTTACTATTTTTACTTTATCTGTTGCCAACACACAAAGGCAGAACAGCTACCATGGCAGAACCACCCTCTCAAAACTCTCTGCAGTTAGAGCAGTGATGAAGGACCAAAATACCACTTTCAGTGCAACGATCAGGATAACAAGTGGAGCCAGAAGGATGTGTAGGTACTGATTCACTAACAGCTGTTTTATTTCTTACACCAGACGAGTGGGTTGCTTGTGCCTTCAACACTTGCAGTCCCTTCTGATGAAGAAAAGAAGGGGTTTGCTATACTGAGTTTAAGGTGCAAAATTCTGCAAGGCTTTTCTACACATACAGAGGCAGGGTCTTCATCTGTGCAGGGACAAATAGCACAGATGATGTTCTCAAATATAGCCCTCAGATGGACAATGAGGGTAAAGCACTTGGTCAGGCTCTCACAAATGGGCTTTGGAGGAATAAGTGATTTCACAGGAATTATCACACAAACGCCTATAAAAGTCTACTAGATGTGTCAAAAAGCGAGGGCTCTGTAGGCATGATCAATGTAAGGAATCTTTCAACAAACAGTTGAGTCTGAAGGCCACTTCCAGAATTTAAACAAAGCTCCAATTACAATGCAAAGACTTGGCTATAGATGCCTCAATTTATAAATAATGACTGTTGGAGTTTATTCAGGCGAAACCTGCATCCATTAAAAATGGAAATCCAGCGCAAATCAGTGAAGCAAACAGCTAGAAATATAGAGGAAAGATAAGCAATAATAAATTATTTAAGCTTATAGCTAAGAAAGCCATGAGAAAGTCAGAGAGACTATTCATCTGTAAATGGGGCAGTGAAAGAAGATAATGAGTCTAAATTCTGCTTCTGTAAAACTCTTGCTGACTTCACTGATTAGGAAGGAGTTGCTTAAAAATGAGCAGAAAGGGTTGTGATTTGATCTGGAAAACAATGCAAACTTCACTCAATGGACTAACCAGAAAAGCCTTTTATCATCACTATTTATAATGTGCTGCCTGTGGCAAAGACTCCTGGTGCTACTCTAAGAAGTTGCACAAATTGTTATGGTGAGGCTAAATAGGATACACTAGAAGGAAATCTTCTTGCAATTTTGGATAGCCTGATTTGCTTAGTTTACAAATCAGAAGAGGATTTGTCCCCTATTTCCAAAGCTCAGCCTGAGATCAGAGCAGTAAGTGCTGCTCTTGGCTTAAGTATCAGTGCCTGCAAGAAAGGATTTGACCATCAACTTGCCTTTGTTGTTTTGGGTTTGTCTTGGGCTTCCTCAGCTGAACTGCTTACTACATCCTGACAGCTTTAACTTTCATTTGTCATTTAGCTGTGCACAAGGATTCAGAAGATGCATGCAGACTGTAGTCCTTGGTTGATTTATGGCACCTTCTGCAGGCATCCAGGTGCTCCAGCGAGGGACAGAGATGTACAGAGATCACTATATTTCAGCAGACTCCAGCAGCCACCTCTGGAGTGACACTTGGCTGGCATTAGTACAGAACCAGCACTTGGAGGGATGGGATTTTAAATTGTCTGTCTTTTGGGTAGGATCTATCTTGAGCCATCCTGGGATGTATTCTGAAGTTATGTCAGGGTCAACTAAAGCATGTAGGTGGTTTTGTACATCTTTCTGTCAATCAGTGAGCACCTTTCAAGAAGAAGTGGCAGAGGAATTTATGCAGGGATCTTAATGCCACTCATAAGGCCAAAGTACAATGTGACCCAGATTCCCACATTTATAGAAATTGTGAGTGCTCTGATCTAAAACCTCCAATTTTGAGATATTCTGCTTCAGTCCCAGCTGCCAATTCCATCTGCAAACTGCTGGATTTGGGCCCATATCTGAGCACGACTTGAGGCATAACACATTCTGATGGGACAGGGGCTGCCTGCATATGAAGGTCATTTGCAAGAGAGGAGCTGGTCCCCCACCACATCAGTCTTCATATACTGGACTGGATACAAATGCAGGAATTTCCAAAATCCTGGCCCAAATCTCTTTACTTCTTCAAGTTAACTACATCAAAATTGCACAGATGTAAAACTTTGGAAAGTGTTCTATAACTCTAAAAAGATGGAGCAGTATCTTGAAGACAATCTCTAGACACAAACTTCTGCTCTGACTTTGCATTAGAGGAAGAGGTACTGCTACTGCCAAATCAATAGCTTCCTTTTTGCTTATGCTTCATTTTTACCCACGACCGGAGCTGGTCTGACCTGAATTCTTAGGTCTCTTGACCCACCAAATTGAATTGCTTTTCATTTTTTCTCCAGATAGCCCCCAAAAGCATTGGATTGGTACGTTACTGATGCAAATGTAGAAGCAAGCAGATAATTCAGTTTGATCTGGTCAGAGCCTGAGTTATGGCTGGAGGCTACCTATCAATCACTTCAAACATAAAAAAATAGTCTCAAGAAATCCAGCAGCTTCTAACTGGTAATAACTTGAAATTCCATGTGAAAACATGTCCCAGGCAATCCACCATTTCCCTTAAACACTCAATTTACAGTTTAAAAAACAATGTCTCTTGTGCATATTCATTTCTGCATATTGAGCCCTGAATATTTTAGTAAATAAACACTGCAAGAAAGTCCACAGAAAGAACTGTTATTTGGAATAATATCTCAGAAACTAGTTTTGAGGTCATACATTCACTAGTAGGCCAAAGTTTGCTCCATCAGGATGCAAATTATCAAGGCTCTATTGTATGTCCAGCTCAAAACTCATCACCCTAAGGCTGGGGCCACAAAAGCCTTGAACATAAGGACAGTCTTCAGGTGGAGTTTGGGTGTGTTAGGGGGACAATGCCATTGCAACGGAAGGGAGCAGGACATTCCCCCTCAGACCTACAGGTACCATGTACAGATCCACTAGCAGGAACCAGAAAGGCCTTTGAATCCTCCTCCCTTTAACAGCCACGTAAGTTCATTTTCAGTTCAGCACCCAAAGGCAACAGTCAGGCTGAAATCCCAAGTTCCTTCCTCCTACACAATGCTTCTTGCATTGTAATCTCCTTCAGGCTTCTAGTTTGTATATACATTACAGGCTCTGCCCAGTACTGCTGATCACAACAAGGATATCTGATTAAAGCAATGAGAGCTTTCTTCCTTTAATTTGTATGAATTTCCTTTGATGCTTAAAGAACAGAAATACAGCAAAACAAAATGAGGCTTTCATCTGAATTACTCAAGAGAATACAGTAAGCTACTCTAGGCTGTCAGATACGGTTGGAATTAGGTGCTTTTAGAAGTATATTATCTATTTTTATCTGTTATTTATTAGGCATACTATATTTATTGTGCTGAACATATTATGCCCTGATAGACTACTGCAGATTTCTTGGTACATTATTGTCTAGGTGCTGTTGGTACACCCATTTTTCAAGATCTAGCGACAAACCAATTGGATTTTGACATGATTTATTTATATTCTTAGAGCAAATCTTTTTGTCTGGTAAATATGTAGGACTCCTAAAGAGATGTTACACCACATCATGCTAATCCTCCTTACCTCATGGATTACTGCCCTAATGCACAGTGACAGCCCTTTCAGAGCTGTCGTCTTGCACTGCAGTAATCTGCTGTCACACGTGCATGCTGAAGTGCATGACCTCTGCATGCCAAACCTGCTGTGCCCTCCCTACAAAGACCCCCAAGAAAAAGCTGCTCCTGTCAAAGGCACCCTCAAATTGTACCTGCTGCCATTGTCTGTATCTGCTGCTCCCTGAGCTAAGAGGCTGCCAAGTGCTGCTTTCCATAAGAAAACCTGGTTTGCAGACCCAGAGCCTGTGTCTGACCTGACCTCAGAAGGAGAAAGCAGAGCTGCGCTGGGAAGGTGATTTTATAGCCCTTGTCTGCTGCCCTGGCACAATTTCAAAGCGAGAAAAAAGCTGCACCTGCAGGAAAACCACTGCCAGGCATTGAGGATAAATCATGGATAATATCACCCATGTCACCTTTTTATAGTCCTGTGATTTGGGGTTTTTTTTTTTGCTAATGGAAAGAGAAAGCTCCAGTGCAAGTGCTGAATTACAGAGAGCATCATTACTACAACAGGTGGGCCTTGGAAAGTGAAAGAAAGCCATGGGATAACAGAAATTTTCCAAGTTCATGGACAGTTGTATAACCTGAGATGTTCTGTTGTCTTTGTATGCTACGTATGTGAGTCATGGGAATTTGAAATGGGCAGTAAAATACTAAAAGATGCATTATTTTAGTGATATCAGCCTAAAAAGTAAATGAGATGATACAGCAGCCTGTTCTCTCATTCATAATTTTAATATGCTGAAATGCCTCCATTTTAGTCTACCTGGCCACAAGCTTTTAAAGTATATGTTTATAAGTCCCTGAGAAGACATAAGGTGAAACAAATTACAGTTTTGAATTATAGTTGTAATGCACATTGTCATAATAAATTCTATCCTCACCCAAAAGATCGATGAGGGATTCCTTCTGTGCCACACCATGTTTTCACAAGTCAAATGCAGCCACTTGTTCAATTTATAGCTTGCTTTCTGCCGCACATGATTCAAAACTATCTGGTTAGAAACACCGTGTTTCTAGATAATTCAGGCTGAGATTCTCTAGGTAGCACAAGGGATTTTCTACCTAAGTCAGAGGCACTGAGGTATCTGAATCCTCTGGGCAGCATGTCAAGCCATAATCTTCTCAAGGTGTTGCTCTACAGCTTCTTTCTACAGCTAAAACTGCAAGAGGAAAGGATGCTGAAATGATAGTCAAAACAACGCTTTCATAAGGAAGATCAGCCATTTTCAAAACATTAGTCCTTACCGGAGTTGTACTGTACATTGATCACCAATCACTTTAGCTCCATTTGCTATTGCTACAAAAGGGGATGACAATTTAAACAACTGCTTCTGGAATAGGTGGCTGGTGTGCACAGCTTTGCTCTGAACAAGATTTCCAGTGAAAAATTAATCCATTTAGACACAATGGCTACACATTTTGCCATATCTTTATTGCACTTTTACCACGTTGCAAACAATTCCACAAAAATGCTGCAAAAGTAAGCCTAGAGCTGCTGAAAGCAGCTTTTTACCCATATATGTATATATTTACACAAAACTATCAAAAGCAAAGTTGAAAAGTAGCAGCTTAGCTATGATAGTCTAGAAAGATAAAAGCTGCCACCTCCTTATGGACAAATGGTACAACTTGTCATTTTACATCACTTTGTAAAACCAACATTCAAGTATTCCTGTCAATGCACAATTAGTGAAATTCCCTTCTGGTAACCACTGTATTTATTATTATTATTATAATTATTATTTTTTGCCTTTAAAAGTTCATAGTGCCTTAACCCTTTAAATGCTGAGTAGCTGGAGAAAATAAAAAGCATTCAATTCAAATAAGATACAGTGGATTAGAGCACTTAAAGGGTTAACACAAAATACTAAGTGGACTGTCACCACAAATAAAGTGTGAGTCACAAAACTATGCCGTCCCTCTCAGTTAAATTTGGTAGGTAGGTCTGGGGTTTCATAGATATAGCATATATAAATACAAAATATTAAGTAAAGGCCTCCTTTCTATACAAAAAAGGACAGGAGGTGTTTTGCTATCAGACTGTTGCCTGTCAATGATCTGAGTATTTTCTGAATCTTTTCATAATCTCTCTTTACGAACTAATGAAAAGCATCACATTAGACTTATTTTTCTTAATGAACTAATCCTTTGCAGAGTCTACACTTTACCTACTTTGGGAACAATTATATCTCATTTCTGAATTCACTGAATTCACAAAATGGCATACACAGTCTTTTGCAAGACTCTATTTTTTTTTTTCTTTTTCCTCTTTGAATCTTCTTTACTTGGCTGGTAAAAAAGTAGTCTTGCGATTTCACTACCTCTCAGTCGTAACAGTGTTAACATCAGTGTTAAAGTCATTTTCAACCACATTGTCATAACCATCCTTTTCTATACAGTCACTAACAGCCTTGAGGACAATCCGCAGCCGCCTGTCCATTGCCTCCAAGTGAGGCTGGTAGAGAATGGGAGCTATTTTATCTTTTAGTAAAGATTCCTTCATCAAGAGACTGAGTTTGTATTCCTCCTTGGCTAACAACTGTAATCGCAGATAGGTAGACTTCCTTATTCTAAGAGAAAAAAGAGAGAAAAAATGCAAATTAGTGCTTTCCTCACTATTGATCTTGACAGGGCTAAAAGGCTTATAGTTAGCATAGCAGTAATAGCTTAAAAACCTTATTATGTGATCTGAAATGATGAGAACCAGGCACTGACACAGTCCTAATGAGCAGCTGGCACTGTCATCTGGTCAGTGACCTTTAGGAGCCCTTTGAGGTGGAGAGGTTTTGGAGTACAGCTCTACAGCCAAGTGCAGACAGCCTTCTGGTTCCTTGGCTGGGTACAGCACCAACTGCATTCGGAGCAGCATTCATATGAACATGTCCACCTTGGCAATGGCACACATGACACACGTGGCATTGAGCTGGGGCATGGGAGACAGCAGTGGGGGATCCTGATAGCTCACCTTGCAGAGACACCTAGAGCCCCTGCAGACACAGAGCTCACCCTGTGTTCCAGTTGTGCTAAGCTAAAACTCTAATGTTACCTGAAAATCCTGGCCACGGGCACTGAGGAAAGCTGCTGTGAAGCACCTGAACAAGCCGGACTAAGCTTTGCCACTTGGGTTCCATGGGATGTGTATTTTGTCTTAAAGCCTCTCTCACAGCAGCTCACAGCCATGCTCCTGCAAGGTCCTGATCTCAAAAAAAGCACTTAACCTGCTAGTGCCAACGCTAAGGGTCAGCTCGGGTCAGGGTCCCTGTGCGGGATCATAACATCTCTGCCTCTTCATGGTATGCAATGAAAGATTAACTTGAACATTTCAGTGGGAGCAACTGTATAAAATAGGAAACAACTCCAGAGGTGAGGCGTACCTGCAGCACTGGTTTAAAGGCACCAATATGGAAAGTTCGTCATGGGAATATTTTCCAAACCTATTCAAACATAAGAGCAAGAACATGATAAAGGCTGTTTTAAAGGCTAATTTCCACCCCCCCTCAAAAGATTATTAAAAGTATTTACCCTCTTCCATTATCTAAGTGGATAATAAATGTGTCATTTCCAAACTTCTCAAAGGTTTCATAGTGATGTCGATCCATGTTACCTATGGAATAAAGAGAGAAAAAAAAGACCTTTCTCACTGTGGCCTGCAGGTCAGGGCTTTTGCCATGGTTCAGGAAGAAGCCCAGCACTCCTCAAAGCTCTGCAGGGCAGAGAAAACACTGGATCTACTAGTTTATTTGCTTCTACTGTGGAAATCCCAAAGTGTTTGATAGTGGAAGATGGGCTGTTATGCCTCTGGAAGCTTTTCAAGCTCTCTGTAGCTTTTATACTTAAGCTCTAGAGGACTTATCAGAAGACAAAGCCAACAATCCCACCTTCCAGCAACCCCTCCTAGGATACGCCAAGGAAGTCCTTCTCAAGTACGATGGCATCTCAACTGTTTGGGGAGCCTGGTCATCCATAAGGTAGCTATGTCCTAAGCCAGCAGAGCTTCACTGGTGAAAATGAGCCCTGCTGCTCCAGCTGTGGGTCAGTATGGTGTGGAAAGGGGCCATGGTATAGATACTGGATGTGAGGCTTAGCTTAGGGAGAGGAAAATATATCCTTCAAGCAGGGATGTTAATCCATAATATTGTATTAGTATTATTGTTTGTCAATATTGTATTAAACTCTTTGAACCATGACTAAACATGGTTCCTGGTTTTCCTCTAATAAGAACTTTGGACAAAGTTCTGTCTGCCTGCAAAGCCAAAACAATGTTATGGCTCTAACATATGGATCAGGGTGCTATTGCAGTGATAGACCTGAACAGTTCTCTTTGGGCACCCATGACAGCCAGACACGTGATCTGCTTTTTAAGGTCAATGTGCAGAGCACTGGTGCCAAGTTATGAATGGTGGGGGTCTTGAGCCACTTAGAGATGCCACATATGGCTCTTGAGCTGTGATTTAGCCTCTCTTGCTGCTGCCTATTGCAGAAATCTCAGTATTGGCAATGGCCAAGGATATGTCCATGCTGACATGTGTCCAAGGATCAAGTACGTATGTTGGCTTCTTACAGGTTATAATTGCAGCAGAACAGGTTGTGTGTTAGAATGTCTTGATGTTAACCACTGAGTAGGTTTGGAATAGGTCACTATCACCTGCTTGTTAATAATGTATTTCATTCCAATCAGGTTAATAAACAGAAAAAAACCTGATACGTACCAGAGTTGCTTTTGTGACAAAGCAACACCTCTTGTATTTTTTTTCCCCTCTGACAGTTTATAGAACAAACAGCAGTGAATGCTACTGCAGGCTGAAAACAATATGCCAATAATGAATAGACTTCGCATATACATCTAGCAGCTATACACTACAATGGTAAAGCACTCACTAAAGCCAGCTATGAAGCCCTTAATTGTTGTGAAGGAGACTAGCCTGACCTGGCCTCATCATCACTCTGCGTTTCTGAACATCTCTGTTCCTTTAATCTGCACTGATGGGAATACATAACCATGTAAATCTGCATTTTCTCATAATCACCCAGAAAAGCACATACAGTAAATTCATCTTCAACCATGCTTTAGCAAAATGCTGAGCTATGCAGAGCACTGTAGAAAGAAATAGTTCTTATTCTAATCAAATGTTGCATTTAATTTTTGAAAGAGATGAAACATACCCATTAGGAAATCAAAAACTGTCATATCCATTATATCCAAAATTCTGGTCCCACTGTCATACGGGGGTGTTTGTTTAACCTCTTCACAGTAATCTGGATCAACTTCCCATCTGGAAAAGCCAATGTTTTGATATTTTATGTGACATACAAAGCTTACTGAGTATTAAAAAAAAATGTTGTTTTGCAAACATCTAGTTGTATCATGTTCGATTGAGGACAGGGTCAAGTAGCAGCAGCAAATTTTGAAGGCTGCTTCCAGTAATGCAGGCAACTGACAAAGACTGACTGATGAAAAAGGAAGAAAATCACAAGACTCAAAACTATCTGGCTAATAGCTTCAAGATTTAGGAAACCAGCTGCACCATCAGTCATATGATGAAAACATCTGAGACTTTTGTTTAGGGCTGCTGATAGCAGTGAATCTTTCTCCCTCTTATAGGACTCAAGCAGGTCCCGTTGCATCCTGTCAAAGCCACTGGAGATTATGCCATTGAAGGTCCTTTCAGGTTCAGGACCATAAGCTGGAGCTCCTTGCAAGTGTAAGCACTCTGTTCCTTCCCAGAAGCTGGACCAGGTGAAGAAATGCAGATGTTCTCCTAAGTCTCAATGCTTTAGACCAGGCAAGGTCATGAACCACTGTTGTATTTCCCTATTGCCCTTTGCAGCTGGCAAACCCTTTGCTCACCACTACTCACTCTGCTTTCTTGCGCTTGTGGTAGGAACGTCTCCAAGGGTTTCTCCAGGTTTTCCTTTTAGCTAAAGACAAATCAGGTAGGAAAGCAGCCAGGGACCCTTCGATCTGATCTGGTTTTCCACACAGGGCATGCTCTGTTGAGCAGTAGTAGGAGCATTCCCCATAGAAGCAGATGTTGTTGGCTGGAAAATAAAAGAGTTTTAAAACTTATGCTTAAATTAGTGTTCAAGAATTCATAAAAGCACTGAAGTTTGTATGAGCAGAAATAAATCTCAGACCCAAAACTCTGCTACCACACATAGTTTTCTTCCACTGAAACCACTAGAAAGACATTCATTTCGGTGGCTGGGATCATACCCTATGCTGAGCTCTCTCTGACTATTTCCAGTCTATTTATATTCCAAAAAAACAAATGTAAGGGTTTTGGGTTTTTTTTATTCTTTCCCTTCTCCTTTCATTTTCCCAGACTGATACATCCTTTGGGAATATTTCTTATGCCAGGCTGGAACCCCAAATCCCACAGCTGAACAAGTGGCACGTGCCCAAAATTAAGTCACCTTTCAAAATCTTGGCTCGTTTAGGACAGAAAACAATGTTTCATTCATTTACTTGCTGGTATGAGAAGAACTGGCAGTTTTACTAAGGAGAATTATTTACCATGAAGGCTCATGTGGGGGTATGTGTGGAAGGTGGAAATAGCACAGATGTAATTCTGTCAGCATGCATCCCAAACACAAATTTCTTCTCCAACAACCACACAAAAAGAACTTGCAGCAGGTTTTGGAGCATGTGTTACTTTAAAACATCCCCAAAGTTGCCACCACATATTTCTGTACCAACAGGAACAGCCACTTCTTTAAAAGAACACTCTTCCCATGTGAATTCACTGATGGTGGGAGAGATCAGCTCATCCCCCAGTCCCAGCATTGGAATATGAACAAGAATAGGAGCACACCACTGATATTCTTGTCAGTGTGCTACAACTCTTTTGGCATTGCTTTATGCACATAAAATGTCATTAGAGGAAGACTGTCCCTTTCCTTATGGTTATGCATGAAGCTGAGAAGTCACATTGCTTCCTAATTCCCCACAAGGCCTCTAAATTCAAACACTGCTTCTGAGCTGACCTCCCTTTGGGCAAGCTCAGCATAAATGAGGCAGGAAGGGCTGGTGAATTTTCTGCCTGCCACAGGAGACTCATGGCTTGGAGAGGTAAGCTGGTGGGGTTTCATTGCAGTGATGTGCATCACAGCACCCTGCACATCACTGTGATGTTCCCCCCCGGCCCACACCTGACCTGTGGCCAGCAAAGCACCTGGTGGAGACAGTACACTGCTGGTGGGCAATACAAGGGAGACAATGAGTCAAGAGGACAGGGAGCAAGCCTGGTCCCAGTGCTCTGGAGATCACAGAAGGGAAGGAGAAGCACAGCAAAGAGCTGCAATCAGGGAAGGAGGAGCGGGAGAACCTGGAAAAACTGTAAGGACTTGTGATGTTTTTTATTATATTAATTAGCTGCATTATCTGGGACTGACTGCTGAGCATAGAATTACTATAATTGGACTATAAGACTGATGTGTTACTTCTGGACAGTTTGTCTCAGCTTTTCATTTCCAAGCCTCTATTGATGGCTATCGGATTTGTCCATTAAACTGTGATTACTTTACTGTGGAGACAGCCTTTTCAAATCCTTTTGCTGTGACTGACTCATAAGGACCACCCATCTATCTGTGCTCAGGAACAACTCCAACCCAAACTGTATATTTACATTCACAGGGTTGGCTCATACCAGTTAAATATATCCTGACTCAGTCCAGAAATACTTACCCTGTGGTCAAAAACCTTGTTGACAATTACTAAAAGAAAAGCATTTCAGGAAAGAAAATGAAGAACAGAAATTACAAAAGGAAGGAAGGGAGCACTCAGCATGACTGTACTTCTAATTTTGTAATTTAAAGTGTTTTAGCATGCAGAATATCCTTAAAAATTCTTTCAAAAGCTTTTCATTACATACAAGGCATACTTAGTCCCTTAACATTTTAATTAAAAGCACAGTAGTTTGAGACTTCCCATGAGCTAAGAAGAGATCGTGTCCTTGGCCAATAAGCCACTTGGCTATTTCCTATGAACCCCAACACAAGTCTTGTTGCTGCTCATCACATAATACACCTAATAACGTCGAAACAGAAACCCCACTCATTTTTCATTTTAAGTAACTCAGTAATACATATCTCTGAAAGCGAAGTTTTGAGAACTTTTTACAAATTGTATGCAGAAAAAAGCCAATCACAGTTAGGGAAACTTGGGCTGGAAGAGACTCTGGAGGCCTCTGGTCCAAGCTACAGCTTCAGGACAGCTTTTCCAGGTTAAAAACCACCTGAAGCCCTCAGTTTTAACTTGTTCATTAGATGCACGAGCTCCAGGACCATCTCAGTGGCTCTCCTTCAGACTTGCTCATTTTAAAATGAAGTATAAAGTCAACATCTAGCCAAATCCAACCTAACACAAGCTCTGGGCGCTCTGCCCTGCACTTTATGACCTCTCATGGGTTTCCTTTTCAAAAATGCTATCACAGCATGGACTTGGTATAGCTTTTGCAAGGCTAACACAGGTGCCTCAACTCTGCCTTTGATCATCCTGGCAGAAACCAGGAGGGCTTCAAGACTCCTCTGAACCTCTTCCATAATTCAGGATGAAAGCAAAGAGTTGTCCAAGCACTGTGGGCAGCACTGCCAGCTACAGGTGGCCTGCAAGCAGAGGATCATACTGGACCTTCAAGAAGGTTGGGATATCCTCAGCCAGTAAAAACTGGGGAAAACCATCTTTGATTTATACTCTTAGAAGAAATGACTGCAAAGTATTTCAAGGGCTGCCAGGCTCCCATAAGGGATGATTTATAAGAAAACGCACACAAATAATGCTTGCTGCAGGTTAGCACAGGAGAGTTAGGAAATATAGAGCTCCCTTATTTCTCAGGTGGTGGGAAGGGCTCTCCCTTGCGCTTCAGTGAGGGTTTATGCTTTCACTGAATTGAAGCTGCTTGTGCTTCAGTTCAGCTGTGTCAGCATCACCCGCTCATCTGTGGAGGGAGGGAACCCACGCATATTTATCTTGATCACCTGAGACAATTTCTCTTCCCAGGTTTCTATGACCTGGCTTCCACCTGGCAGCTGGAAGCCAATGCTGGGTTATCTGCCACCGTAACCAGCAATGCCCCTTGCATGCTATCGCAGCCTCTGCTGCTCACTATGTAAATCTGACCTTTCAAAAAAGGAATTGTATTAAACACAGCATTTTGCACAGTGGGAAGATAAATACTGTGTTTAATAGTTTGCTTCTGACTTTAGCATTAGGAAGAATGAAGCCCTGCTCCATATTGTCAACAAAAGCAACTGGGACTAATCATTTGACAGTAATCACACATTTGTACCCAGATGAACCTTCAGGAAGGTTCTGGGGCTATGGCAGCGATGGCATTCGCTGCTGCAGTGACACAGCCAGCATGTGTGCTGCCTGTACCATGCCGGGCCATTCATCCCTACTCCTGCTGGGCTCCTCTAGCTATTGATTTTCCCACAGAGCCCCCAGTGCCTGCAATGGGAGTCCAGTCCTCCAAGCTACGGTAAAATGTGTCTTGTCATTAAGACAGCAAATTTGCTGTAAAACCACAAATGTATTTCTTAGTGAGAAGTTACTTTCAATGGCAAAGCTTTTTCTGCCAGCTGTTAACTCTCCCTGTGGTCCCAGACCTGTGGTACTTACTCTCCACTGCTCCCATCCGATTTCTTGGGGTAGTGGAGTTGAAAGGATGCTGCATCTCAAGTTTCTATTAAAGAAATGAATTGCTTTGATTGATGCAGAACAGGCATCTTGATATGTCTATCCTAGTTCTTCTATACAGGCAGTGAGATGAAGTAGCCTGAATTCTCTGGGGAAACATTCATTTTTAAGGTTTCTCAAAAAAAAAAAAAAAAGAAAAAAGTACCAAATATAGAAAAGCACAGTTCTCATTTAAGACTTCAAGGTGCGGTAGCAAGTCTCTCGAAACCCTAAGTAGGTGACCCACATTCTGCACAGCAGGCTGAGGGTGAAATTACAGCTACAGACACAAGCCCAGTGCTGCACCAGCAAATCCATGCTGAGAGCAGGGTTTGTCCTTTTGAAGGCAAAAATAAGAGGGAAAGGGGAAAATGAGTTCTATTGGATTGTGGTCTTTCTCCTCCCGTTAAAATTGCCCAGCCCCTACAGTCTTCTCTCATCCAGTAGAGGTGTTTCTGTACATAACCCTCTCCCTAAGAACACCTGCAAAAGAAGCAACCACCAGAAATTTGTGCTCCTGCAGAATGGGTAGAAACAGCAACAGCAGCAGTGCTGGCAAACCAGAAAGGAGGGATGTTCATACATGCTGAAATGTGCAAATTTGCAGTGTGCAAACTCCTGCTTCATCACAAAATGAAACTGTTTCTCCAAAGCACTAGAGAGGCCAGAGAATCCCAAGCAGTGTTTTAAATGTCTGATTTTCATTACCTGAAGATGAATGGATGCAATTCGTAATGATATCCATGCAAAAATCATGGTCTGGTGATTGAAACTCCAACTAATCGCAACAATTAAAAACCAGAGCGTCTGTGTACTCATCTGCACATTTTCTGTGTGTTATCCCCATAGCTGAACAATAATTCTTCTCAGGAAGAAAAGGAACAAGTGGAGATACCTTAAAGCAAATTGCTTGGCAGAGCAATTCTTTTATTGAGATTTGCATGACTGTTAACAGAGAACATTCAGCAAGCTTGTGCAATTGGAGTACTGGAAAGAATCCTGAATATTTACTAAAGCAATGCATGAAAAGATCTTTCTCTTACCTGCTCAAAATAATAGGTAATTCAGAATTGCTATTGTTTGCTGAGAGGGAAAAAAAAATCCATAATCCCTTGGAATTGGTTAATATGAACAAAAACATAGCGCTTACTAGCTGTGTAACATTGATTTCTCTAAGCTGCTGCCTCAATTACTTCCAAAACGAAGGCTGACATGATTAATATGTCTCTTTTTTTCCTAGCAAATTACCATTCATTTGTAAGAGTAGCAGGGCTACTGCAGTCTGCCCTGCTGCAAAGGATGTAAAATTAATTTAAATAATTACTGACCTAATTCCATTTCTCATGTTTAGTCCAAACTGCCTGGAAGTGCACTTTTCTGCAATCTGCTTTCCCTCTGATTGCAGCCTAATGCATCAACCGACCTGCCCATTCACAGCCATTTCCACTTTCCAGTGGAAGAAAGGATGCTGCTTTGAAGCTACAACTGCCTTCAGCTTCCTGGCCCTGATTTCCATTCCGGATGGACAAGTGAGATGGCCCAGGCATCAAAATGCAGTGAGGCTTCTTCCAGTATGTTGCCATTCTGGTCCAGGGAGTAACACAGTGTACTGATGAGCATCATCAATATTTACCTTTTGAGGGTTTCCACTGCAAGCAGTGGTCTCCCAGCCCAATGGGAACAGCTTTCTGTAAAACCCATTACATTTGGTGCTCCTTGGGTGCTTGGAGAGGGATACATTGCCAGCAGGCCCCATGTGTCCCCGTGACCATTGTCACTAAGCACCTCTGGGGATGCAGATACAGAGACACAGCCACCTGAAAGGGAATCCCAGAGTGGCCTCAACAGCTTAATGTGGGTGCACAGACTTGCAAGTATCTCTGTGTCATACCTTGATTTCTCAGCTTTGTAACCAGTTCTCCCCCAAAACCAACTGAATTTGCTGTCCCTCATCTACCAGAGGGACCAAGTCAGCCTGTTCCAGTCTTCCCCCTGCTCCCTCTCCATCTTCACCTTCCCAGGCCATGTGGCTCTTCCTAGCATCCTCCTCTTTCTAGCCTCAATCTGCTGCTTCAGCTGCCTGCTAGGTTTATGAATTTGTTTCTAAATGCTTAATTTAGGAAATTTATTACTTCTTCATTAAGCATTAATTAATGCCTGCCTTTTAAGGTCAGTACAAAATACAAGACAGAGGTTGGGCATATATTAATGAAAATCCGACTAATTATATTAGGGGCTTGTAAAGAAGAACTCTGACAAGTAACCAACATGATTTAAGCAAAGTATATTGATTTAGGAAATGTAAAATTGAAAGAAAAATTAATTGCTTAAGTGTTTTGTTCTCCAAAAAAGCCTGATTAGCTAATCAAATGTTTTAATTAAATTTATCTGAGGCCTCTAAATAAATCTGAATAAAGGATTATGCTTGGATCATCCCCTCGATGTCTGGAATTTCATAATTACAAGATAAAGATCTTCATCCAAACCAACAGCCTTAACTCTGCATTGCTCTGGCTGCTGTAAGCTGCTCAGTACTTGAGCACAGTTTTGTACTTCTCAGATCTCATTCAACTTCACCCCTAAGTCTTGATATATAAGCTGGGAAGACTAAAAAGGAAGCAAACCTACTAATCCATGCCTTACTAGCTAAAACAGGAGTAAAATAGCTTATATTTCAAATGAGTCAAAGTAACTTGTGTGCATAAAGCTACAAGGGTTTTTTTGCCTTGTTTTGTGTGTGACTGCCTACAAAACCCCAAGCAAACGCCTTCATCACGTACTGTCACCACATCTGTACATGTAAAATTGGAGCACTCATAACACAGGGTAAGATGAAGCCTTTTGTAATTATGTAATGTATTTTACAAGTGAAGTTACTGGAATAAATAACTGCCTGCTCAACTGTGTCCTGCACAGCTGAACATCAATATGAGGCTAAAAGTGACAGCCATAATAATGACTTTATTGGTGATCACACAAGTGTGATAAACATTTTAAAAGTGAAAGCTCTGCAAAGACAGGGCTCTGGTTTCTGGCTAACAGCAGCAAATTACAGTTACATCAGGAGAAACTGTAATTAAGTCTTTGGACCTTGACTTAGGGATAAATAGCTTCTGGCCAGTCACACACAGTGTGAGGGAGAGATCTCCAGAGATTTCTGCTCCAGATTGCCAGTTACACAAGTCACAGCCTGAGTTCAGCAAAGCACATTTGCACACAGCTGAAATAATATGAGTTGCACCCACTGGAACATAGCTACATGCTTTACATTGAACGTTTCCCTATATATGCCCCTATATATGCTTTCTCTAAGAAGATACTTAAGCATGTGTTTTTGTGCCATAACTCAGATCCTTAATTTCTGTACCTCTGCATCCTAGCTGCTAAACAGAGATGGTATCACTTTCTCCCACCCTTTGCCCATCTTTATCTATTCCAGTTGCATATTCTGGTGAGCTGGGCAGGGTTTTACCTTGTGTCTGCAAAATCCCCACCATGTGGAGCTACATCCTTGGCTAGGGCCATGAGATGTGGTGAAACAATGAAGAATAATAGAGAGTGGTGTTGGTTCCTGGGGTCAGCCCGCAAAACAAGAACAAGGACTGGGAACAATTCAGGTCATTCCCACCCTGGCCTCTACCCAGTGGAGAATTTGAGCTGGAAGCAGGACATCTTACACATCTATTTGCTTGGGTTTTTTTTTCAAACTCCTGTTGTAAAAAAACCTGAAGTATGTGACTTTGAGAAAATTAGGTTTTGGTCCTCCAGTCAAAACCAAGAAATAAATGCATCTGACCAACAGAAGTGATAGATCACATTGCAGTAGAAAAAAGAAGTTCAAATAACTAATGGGGTAAGTAATAAGATTTGGGGTAAACTGAGAGTAACAGAAGAAATCACTTTAGAAATTGCTCTACATAAAACATTTGTTGAATACATTGCTTTTGTGAACATAAAAGCCTGTCTCTGTGGATAATTTGTCAAGGGGAAAAGGCATTCAATTCAAAACAATAAAGTCTTCTTTGTAGGCTGTGTCTCCACATTTATTTTTATTCAAAGGTCTAGAAGACAGTTCTATTAGAAATATCTGAGCAATTAAGCAATCTACACATCGTTCCCTTAAGTACGTGTTCAGCACGATAGAAAGAATATAGAGTTATTTTGAAGACTACCTGGTGAGATGAAAAATGTTCTCCACAGCTTCTTGTCACGAGTAACATCTCGTATTTCTCTCGTCATGTTAACCAGTCTACCTGCAACTGGTGGCACACGACGGAAATCCAGGATCCTGGAAGTGAAAGAGAAGAGGTAGTTTATGTAAAGGATTAAACTGTAATGATAGTGATAGTTTTTAGGAAGGCTCATTACACTCTGAAGGGACATTTATCTGTGGTCTTCAAGGAGTAAAAAGCCCATCAGCTTTAAACTAGATAATCCTTTGTATAATATATTACAAATTATGTCCTGAATATGATTAGCTCTGACTTGCCTACATAGTATGGAGAAGATGCAAAATACAGAAGAGTATGAGGACACATTGTTCCATGAAAAAGGTGAAGGTACATAAAATTCCAGATAGTAGAAACTTATTTTTGTCTTTTTGCTGCTTCAGGATTGTTATAACATGCACTTTGCTCACCACAAGTGACTTGAGGAATGGGATTTCAGCCTCTTTCTTCCATAAGCTCTTTTCTGACAGTCTTAGTAATTGTTTGATTTATTTCTTTCTGCTCCTGTCTTTTAATACCCTTATACCAACCTAAACAACCTTCCTGAGACCAAAGATTTTCCTGCTGGCAAAGGCTGAGTGAAGAGCCTTTTTCTACTCCAAACTTCCCTGCCTTAGTAGATTAAAAATTCCCTACAAAGCATTGCTGTTAGGTACAGTAAATGAGCAAAGTCCCTATACAAAGCCTCGCCACAGGTGGTATTTCTATGTCCGCTGTCCGCTGGTAAGATTTTCTACATTGGGTAGCAACTGCTTTTTCTGCTTAGTGTGTGGATATTTAACATTTCTTCCTGTAGGTACTCCATTAATGGTTTTCTCCTACAGCACCATCTGCTTAAAATGGCAATATAAGATGTAAAGCAGAAGGGGTCAACACCAAGGTCAACAACAATAATATATGGAAGATCCTTGAAGAATCAGACCAGCATGGCTCTTAATGGCAAACCTACCCTGAGTCAGCTGCTCATAGTTTTCCTCATCCTAACCATCAACCCAGAAGGCAGCAATACTACCCCCCAAATAATCTGTGGCCCTGAAGCCTCAAGCTTTTGAAAGGATATTTCTTAGCACTTCAGGGTGTGAAAGAAGCTTCAGTTCTAACAGCCTGTGAAATGGCATGGTTTCTACCCATAGTGTCCTTACTTCATCATTAATTCCCACTCCTAATCCAGGTAGGCTGAGGGGACTGTAGTCTCTTGCCAGTCTTGGGGTATTCACTGTACCCTGCACTACCTCTGCCCAAGGGGACATTTTCAGCAAATAGGAGTATGGGATGACTACCATAGCCCTCTCCTTCCCATTGTCTTGTGACCTGCTCCTGATATGGACAGCCCTAGCTTTTTGCTGTGAACCCAGACCTCCCTCCCTATCTCAATTATTCCTCTTTGAACACTTACACCATTCCCCATGTCTTGCTTGGATTTGCATGCCCTGGAGCTAATTGGGGTGAGCCAGACTCCTGTTACACTTATGTGACATATTCCCCGGGAGATGGGTCCTCTCCGTATGCACTTCAAGATCACAGGGGAAATTCATTTTTCATCTTCCCTTCAATATAATTTCTCTTTCTTTTTGAGAAGTACTTATTGCCAGGTTTCTCATTCCCAAAGAAAGTCACACTTCCTAATAATTAATCTACCCTTTCATCAACTGCCATTTCATTTATTCATGACATTTGCCCACATTTGTTTCATTTTCCCCTCTTTTAAAAGTAATTCAGTTACAGGGCTGGCCAACTGTAGAACTGATCACAATATTTCCACTTTTCTTTTAATGCAAACCCGTTTTACTTGCCTGTCCAAATGAAATGCTGCTATTTCTGCATTATGTCTTTCATAGTCTGAGAAATAAAAAAAGTCTGGTGGGGTTTCTTGTTCTCTGGTTTGCCTGCAAAGAAAAACAAGGAAAGTGTTTTAATGAAGGGTTAGCATTTCTAAGGAGCAGTACTCAGTCATTAGCATGTTATTCAGGAGTTCAGTATTGTTTGCTTAGTGGAAGGCCTTTAAATACATCATGTGTGCATTATTTGCCATGTAGCCTTCATTTTATCTACTTTTTTAAACTACTGCAACAAAAAATAGGAATTCAAGACTTGTACATGCGGGCCGCTGTCACAAAGCTATTCCACTCAAGACTCTTCGCTCTATTTAACAAGATCTGCTTTATCACTCTCAAACATTTCATTAGTGGTAGTGGTGAAGACAATGTTATTTCATTAAATCATCATTAACTGTAATTATGAAATATCCAGAAGTAATAACATTTTTCTTTTGTCTTTGGCAGCCATGCAACTGTTATCTAAAATATGACTCTCCCTTTGTATTAGGAGAGCCGAAAGTGACATGTTTTTCTTATTTCAGAAGAAATGGGATCATTGCAGTTTGATGGCCACGACACATGTCATGTTTCAAAGAACATTAACAAGAACATGCTCCAGAGAGGATGAAGAATTTGTTGTTTCTTCAGTTTGAGAACCAATAAAATATGTCATTCTGATGGAAATAGGAAGGCTAAGGATACAATACTGAACACCATGGAAAATAGAAAGCTCTGCATAACAGACGAGCAAACCTGTCTCACTTTAGGCAATTTTCAGTTCTGATGGCCTTTGAATGGAGCACGACTCGTGAAGTTGACCAGTACAATGTCTGTGCCTCACCTCAACCTGCATTGTGCCCTCTTTTGAAATCTTAAATGGGAGACAAGCACTGCAAAGCTGCTCTGCAGAGCATCTGCAAGGGAGGACAGTTCCGCAGAAGAGGAAAACGAAGCTCTTTCTCATTCCCCACTGACACAGGTGGCCAGCTGACAGCTTGTGCGTCACCCATGTTATACACTTAAAACACAGCAGTTAAAAGAGTTTCTGCACTGGAACCTTGTTGCCTGGAAGGCTTTGGGCTTGTTCAGAACTTGCTGGTTCAGAGCGCAAACCTTCAGAGAATTCGCAGTAAGTCCCAATTATGGGGCTTGTTGGGAATCCAAAGCTGTGCTCATCCACCACCATGACTACCAGGACTGGTATCTGCCCAGGAGCCCCCCTGTATCCACATTGTTGAAGTAACTAGGTAAGTCTTGTGTGTTTTGGCTATATCAAGACTTTGCTATGCAACCATCAGGGTTTGAAAGGCTGACATCCTTTCTCAGACATTCTTCTTTATATTAGTATCTTGGCAAGGTATTCTATCTCACCCTAATTGATGAACAAGTGCCATCATAGAAACAACATCAAGGTACTTGACTTGTATCCAATGTAATTCAAGGTCAGAGGGGCCTCCAACACCCCAGTGATGCTCTAGCCAAAGTAGCACTGGTTGCTGTCATAGAAGTGGTCTCAGAGGTGGCCAACACTTGGCAGAAGCCCCAGTAGGATTCTGCTGCGGCTGCAAGGGGTTCACAAGCAGACAAGCTAAAAGTAAGCCTGGCATAAAATAAAAAATATTTTGCTTTGTCTTCCTAATAAATGCAAAAATGGAAGGAGCTCACCCATAAAGAGAAACAGGGCAGAGCCAGAAACCTATGGCATGTTACACAACACACCATGCAACCAAGCCAAGAGCTAGGAGAGCTGCAACCTTGTTATGAATATACCCTTCAAAAATGAAGAAACAAGCCCTAAATATAAATTCAAAGGAAAATATTAACATATTTCTGTTGGGCAGAAAATTACGCATTTGTATGTAGCTTTTCTCCCCTCCAGATTTTAAAATATTTAATTACATGAACAAGTCAAAGAGAGAAAGATTCATCTGAAGCTTTTGCAAACTTTACAAATATCAGCACAGCTAGTAAGTTGCAGAAAATATTAATGATTAGTTAATCAATGCCATCTGCTTTTTATCTCCCGAAGACTTTAAAAAAATCATACTGTTCCTTTACAAGAAAATCTTGCTCCAGAAAATCAGACTTAAATAAGGGCTAGATCTCAGTCTTGCAAGCACAGCTATACCCCCAGCCCAGCTCCTCTGAGCCGCAAACTTGACATGCTGGGCAGTCAGTACATCACCTCCGGGATAGTCCGGTCTCTCTAATTTCATTTTTCTATTTGGTCCCTGCCACCCCCGGCAATGGCCGAAGATTTTATTCATTTGTGAGCAAGTACAGCTGTCCTGCAGGCTTAGGCTTGTTTGTACTTATTTCTCTCCTGTCATAATGCATTATTAAGTCACAGCACACCCTCCTAGAAAATCATGAACTTGATTGTCCTAAAACCTTGAGAAATGAACACCAGATCCACAGTGCTATCCAGACAATGGAAATAGCAGTATTTTTTGAACCTGACTATACATCATGAAACAGATTCCCGAGATTCTTTGGTGCTTCAGGTGCTTGGTCGATACCCATGGCAAACCACTATGGTACTCACTTTTCTGTGTCCTGGAAATATTGGGTTATTCTGCACATAGTTAGGAAGGAGGATTTATCAAACTCCCAAACTGCTTTACATTTTTTATGCTCCTTTGCAAAGCTCTAACTAAGATGTAGCGGATACAAACATGAAACCTTCTCCTGAAATAATCTTGAAAAACCCTTTCTGCTGACTTATTCCACATGCATGGAACAGGAACCTTGTTGCTTGCATCTAACTTTAGCTGATAAGTTTTATCTAAATATACATTTATTGCTAATTGATGTCTGCAAGAGCACCTGAAGAGATTTGTTGGTAATTCCTCAGCCACAGTAAGCTGCTATACCACCAGCAAACACTAAGACATGTGATGATTACAGCCCAAGGTGCACACTGAATTTAAAAAGCCACATGAGCCTAACACAGCTTTTGACTTAATGGAATTAATGGACTGCAATGAGAATGCCTTTAACACTGTTAAAAGAGCACCTACATCATCATCTATATTTTTCACTTTACCCGAATATGTTTATACATAATGTTATTTCATCCATGTTAAAAAGTTGCTATTTCTTCGTGTGTGCAATCTGATCAATGCATTGCCTGGTTTGGTGCTAATTCTTCCAGTGATTTATTCTGATGCATATGTATAGACAGGTGGAAGACCAAATTCCACTCTCAGCAACGTGGATATACAGTCAGCAAGTCCTATCAGTTACCCTGATCGTGGTAACTGGCCCTTAGTCTCTCTCATGCACTCTAAGTCCCTTCCAGATCAAGTCAAGTATCTTATAAAACAACACTGGATGTGATCCACCCCCCAGCATGTTTTCAATCAGCATTGCGTTTTATAGGGGAAACACCACCCACAGCCCCCCAACTCTCAAGTTATTTTGGTTTTACTAACTGATGGCTATTGAAGGTTAATAATAAAAAGCCATGAATAACGAGGTATGTGAACAAACAGACCAATACACTGAACCCTCTGCAGAAGTGTATGCTCCTGAGGGACAATAAAGAAAGCAAGGGTCAGAGGTCCCCAGTGCCAGCAGTAACATCTCACAACATCCAGGACACAGGTTCTGCACAGGTTGCAGACAGTGGGATAGGCTGGCAGTGGCTCTTATTTTGCAAACAGTTGGAATCTGGTGATCCTTTCTCTGGAGAAGGATTTGGCAGATATTTATAATGGCAGGCTGGGAAGCTCTGGAGGAGAGACAGATGGAGGTCTGTTGATACTGCACACAGTTAAAAATTACACAGTGGCACCAGACCAATTACAGCATGAGGAAAAGACAAATCAGCACGGTAACACTAGTAGAGGAGAAATAAGAGCTATGAGGAAACCAAACCCCTTAAAAAATTCCCCGCCATGGCACAACTCAGAGAAAACACAGGAAGTAAGGAATGACTTTAAGCAGGACATAGACACGCTTGTATTGACACAAGATGAGGAGCAACTGTGATCTCACGTTGTGGCTACAAAAGCGACTCATGCTTACAAGTAGAAGAAATAAAGCTACTCTGATAAATGAACAGTCGTGAATAAATCTGGTGAGTTAGCTCCATTCTAGCTATGGTTGGGACATGTTTTGGTGCTCAGTAGTATTCGGATAAACCAACGTGGTGATTTGCGTGCAGAAATAATTGCAAAGCCTCAAGCTTTTCTTAAATGTTTCTGTAAACAGTATTGGTTTTTTTTGCCAATTACTTGATTCTGCCAAAGGCAACGTTAATAATTTATTGGGGTTTAGTTTGGGGGTTTTTTTCTGCCATTTATAAACCTTAGCACCAGGATGAGCTCTGCAAGCTCTCTGGCGTTTCAGAAAACACTGTTATAGAAACTAAACCCTTAACATAAATCTATACTTAGTTTCCAGGATCACTTGCTTACACCTGCCTAAATTACCAGGATTAATACCCACCAGGGCCATGTATGACTTGAAAGAATCCTGCCTCACTGCCAGACTTCCTCTGCTCCAGAGGGGTCCTCTTACCTGTACAGCAGCCAAAAAGCTAGAAAATAGGGCAAACAGCCCAATCTGAGTTAAGTGTTATCCTGACAGACACATGCTGTCTTCCTATGCCGCAGTCCAGAGATATTTCAGAGATATGTTTTGTGTCAAATGCGGGTACCTTAACTAATGAGCAGACGTGCTGCTGATTTGAAAACAGCTCCTTTTAAATAGGTTGTGCTCCTGTTCCGACACGTAATCAGGGGAATCAGCCACAGGGATTACGGATGATTATGGATCACAACAACAAGCTTTTTCTGCAGCAGGAAGCAGGTTTGCTTGGGTTGGACAATTCTGCAGGCAGCTACCTTGACCCCTCTGGCCAGGGAAATTTGGCAGCAGAAAAGCCACTCAGAGACATAACAGGCCAATAAGGAATGGTAATTGCACTGGCAGGGACAGGACCAACGTTGGTAAGAGTGTAATGTGGCTATCAGAACAGGTAACTGGGGATTACCTGAGTCTACCCACAGCTATAGGTTGCTATTCTTCTTTGGAAAGCAGTTTTCCTCTCTTTCCATGGAGTA